AGTCAAATGTAACATCCCAGCCATCAATTCTAATATTAAGAAAATATTTTTTTATTTTAAATTCCATGTATGCATGTTTCAGTATAGGGTAATTAATTATATAAAATAACAACAGTGTAATATAGACTACTCCTCAAATGACTTTAACACATAAGAGCATGTATGCCTGCTCCATTAATGCTCAGTGTCATGTTTTACATCCACCTCTGTTTGAACAAATAATTGGCTACATGAAAAATACATTGAGAAAGATTTACATAAAAATGAATGTTTTTACATGCGTTCTCCTCCCCCCAACAGTCATGAGTCCTCCCCATAGGTTTGGAAAACACAAGAATAAATTAAATATTTATGCAAAACCAGATCTGGCTGGAATTTTCATCAATTAAATTAAATAAATAAAATAAACCCTGACATTCTGTTATAGAAATGACCCCTGAACAAACTGCCAATGGATCATATAGTTCTAGAAGGTGAGTTTATTAAAGAGCTTATTTTTCCTAGAAAATTTAAGTTTTCCTAGAGATACTATGTCAATTTGGAATTACTATGACTTAAATTAGAAATAATGAAATATTTTGAAACAGTTTATCGTCATTTTATTTCATTTTGACAAACAGGTGAAGTCAGTCTTTTTGGAAAGAGAAAATGCAAACCCTTAATATATTACCTGGTCATTAGTATGTTTTTATATTAAGAAAGGATAGCATAATTTAGCTGGCAAAACAAACCATTCGTTGTCAGAGAGAGAGAGCTTTGTTCCATTGTGAGTTATGACTTAATTAAACGTATGATTGTAAAGCTGTTTCAGTTCACTTTTACCCAAATACAAAGTACAAGCACACATATAAATAGGTGAATAAATAAATAAAGTGCATATTAGCTTGGATAATTTTATTAACCTCAAGTCATTCAAATGCAGAGGTCTGACTTTGCAGAACTGCTGAGGAAGCAAACTAGCAATTTGCTGACACGTCACAGGTGATTAATGAGTTAGTTTCTTTTTTTAACTGTTTGCTCTTTCTGCATCCTGTTCCCATTCCCATTGCAGCATCTGACATGAACGTAGCGCCCCAATTCCAATGACATGTTTTCCTCCTTTTCATACTTAACTCTATGTAGAAGTCAATTTTTTCTTAATTTGATCCTACTTTGCTGTTTGGAATAAATAGAATGTATAAGAATAGCACGGTCAATTCTTCAGATTGATAGAAAATAAATAAGGGAGGAGTAACATATGAGAACCAGCTTTCTTGAAATGAGGAGAAAGTCAAAGGAGAAAATTAATCAACACATACACGGCACACAAAACTTGCAACATAGGTTAATTTCATTTGTAGACTTAGGAGAATGCCATTGCTTGTTTCCTTGAGTTCTCTCTAGCATCTAGTTGAGCTGTATGAAATTGCCATTTTGGTGGGTTAAAAAGAATTTCAAAATAGCCATTTCATGTGGTTCAAACTAATCAATGAACTAGAACAGCTGTTTTCAAGGATGTTAAAAATAAAAGCCATTCTCTGTAAATGGAATGTCATAGAAAGTGATTAACATAATTTGCAAAAACTTAGGCTGTTTAATTTTTAAATGAAGACTTCTTCCTTTGGTTTAATGGGCCTTATGTAGTACCTATCACGTGTCAGAACTGGGAAACACTGTTTAACAGAACAGGCGATAAACCTACTCTCAAAGCTTACAATCTAGTGGATGAGGGAACATTTAAGATACATACATGGAATGGAGGTACACTCTGTTCTAAAATAAAAAGTGGCAAGGACACAAATAAAGCAGGGATGAAGATGTTGGGTGAGAGAGTAGGATCACAATTAAAAACGGTGCTCTGGGAGGCCTCAAGAGAAAAAGGATGTCCTGACATAAGTGAAGGACAAGACGTGAATGTTTACTGTAAAGCAGTAGCCACTATACTCTGAAGGTCAGTGTAGGACACCAAGTGTTGGTGTGGCACATGCTTAGTGTCACTGATCTGCCGCTCACTTGCTGATATGGGTCCAATGCCTGGTTTGTAGTTCTGACAGATTCTGTGGAGTCTCATCGTTCAACTTGCCTGAGTCCTGAAGCAGAAGCTCACGGCAAACAGCAGCTGCTTCTGAAGGTCACATGCGTTGTTGAAGTTAGAGACAGTGAACAGTAGATATGGGTTTCCATTTGTTGACATTTGTTCTGGTTTGCTTTTGCAGGTTTTAGTTTGTTTTTAAAGGCTCTGCTTTGACCTTGTTCACCTTGTTTCCCTTGTGGCTTTCTTACTGACTTCTACTTCCATTCTTGTCCTATGGTGATTCTAGGCCCACCACCAGACTCACATGTGACAGCCTTCTAGGCACTACCTTACGGGCTCTCATACTTATGAAAGGTTTAATCGCTAATATAAATGCCATGTTCCATATGATCTTGTACTGGTTTTGTTTACTTTTTTGAATCCTAATTAGGACACTAATCCATGTCTGATATCTTATAATCCTCTCAAATGTAGCATATTCACAACAGAGTTCCTGCTGCGCTCTAGCACACACTTGTTACCTTCACAGTCTCATCCAACACAATTAATGGCAACTTTATCCTTTTTTTTGTTCAGCCAAAGAGCACAGAGTCACCTTTGATGATTGTCTTTTATGTGCCCCTTGCAGTTTGTCATTCTGGAAATGCTGGAAGTTCTACCTTAAACACGAAGCCAGTGCATTAGCTTTTTATTCTTTATTTCTTTGGCACTCCACTGTGGCCCATGCCACCATCATGTCCTACCTGCATGCATCAAGATCATCCACAGAGAGTAAGTGCAGTTAAAATACAGTGGGGCCCCATGGGGTACTTCAATATTTTGAGGTTAGACAATTGAGAGATCAATGAAGGACACTGTATAGGAAGATCCACAAGAGTGGAAAGAAATTCAAGAAAGCACAGGAAACTAAAAATCCCCTTGGGATAACAAATTAACAATTTGATGAGAGAAGGTGATCATTTGCCATCTGTCGGCAGGACTGATGAACTACTTTATTGAGAATGGGCACTGTGGTGCTTCATCACAGTTGCTCACCAGGTATAATAAAGAATGTATGGCAGACTCATCCACAGAGCACTACTCAGTGGTAGAAATTTTCAAAATATGTACTTCTTGTTAGTTTATTAGGATGGAATGCAGGATGATTTTCACACAAAGATCAAATTTTACACAGTGAACATTTCTCCCCGTATCTCTATGGCTATATCAATTGATGTTCAACATCACCATGAGATCCTTATTTATTTAGACTACAGGTCACTGGAAAAGTTTACCCAGAACTAAGGGGAAAAAAGCCTGTATTGAAAAAGCAATCTTCAATTCTCTTGCTCCTGAGCTCACTGTTTACTAGTAAATAAAAACTGTACAACTCAAGCCATATGAACTATCAATAACTATTTGACAGTTGCTATTATACTGAATGAGCCAACTGAGGAGACTGAGCTTCTATTTCTACTCCCCAGATGAGTCGCTTAACCTCTCTTTACCCTACAAAGATAGGGATAAATTATTCCTTGGCATACCTCAAGAGAAAAATGTGAATATTGGTGAGATAATATTTGCAAAGCTATTTGAATGTCTCATATACAAAAAAGGTGAAATTAGATTCTTCCTGTGCATTTGAATGGATAAGGGATGAAGAAAATGCTATGCATTCTCAGAAACTGCTGGTAACTACAGATATCTTCACTAGACATATGCCTATATTAAACATACACATGAAATAATTATAGTAAACCTGAGGACCTGGTGTTTTGAAAAACAACTTTAACTTTCTGTCATGGTTTGTGCTATTTAGGTAACATGACTGGCAGTCATTCTAGTCCTTTTCTTTCACTCTCAAATCTTGTCTAATCTCTCTCCTCAGCATCTTGCTAAATGCCTATTACTGTACTGAAACACTTTTATTGCAGATTGCCACATCAATTGATATAGCCATAGAGATTGACCACATGTTTACTGATGTGGTCATCTCGCCCCTGATCTCCTGGCCCACAGCTTTATGTTTCTCTATTTCATCCTCAACATGCATTACATACACAGTCCTTATTTGGTTCCTGTTTCTTTCATTCAATCCTATGCCCACCACTCCCCAGATTTATCCCAGAAATGCTGAATTACTTAATGCTGTTTTGCATTTCTGACTTTTGAATACCGATTAACTGAAATACCTCTTCCTCCTACATGGATACAGTGGAGTATAGTAACAGGAGTGTAATAGTGTATAATAGACAAGAACTAAATTTTTAATATCTAAATACAGTATAATGGATTAGTGTCAGGTGGGAATACTAAGAGGTCTCTACTCAAGAATGAAATTGGTTTATTGTAACATATCTGTCTCTTTTCTTTTTAACAAATAAATTAGTGACTTTTTTGAGGCTGATAGCTCTAATTAGAAATATGATGATTGTACCACGTTAGCTCTGTTTAGAAATACGATGATTGAACCATGTTAGTTTTTTTTTTAAATTAAGCTTGAACATTCTGTGTCCCTCTGAGAATGACATTCAGATGAGGTAAAAGTTTAGATTCTAACAATGAATGGTGGGACTAAGTGGAAATAAGTGATTTTAGGCTTCTTAGGGCATGATTTAAAAGATTTGGGGAAAAAAGCTGGGGATGCTAAGCAGAACAAGTCCAAAGCACTCAATGTATTTTTATTTATTTATATTGGAAAATATATTTGTCTAATTCAATAATGCTAACAAATTATATATGTATATATGTATTGCATATAGCATAGACACATATTTTATTAAAATACTCCCACAAAATATGGCAATATACCAAATATCTTTCCCCTACCCAAAGCTGATTTTTATAAAAAAACTGGTGCTATGAAATCAAATATCTAGAGTCAGAATTTGCTCCATTACTCAGTAATTTCGTAATTGCTGTGTTAAGTGCTTTGCAAACATCAGTTATCTCCCTAATTCTCATGATAGCTATTGAGGTAGGTACTACGATTATCTTCTCTTTGCAGGTGACAGGTGCCATACAGGACAAGTGCATGATACACTTTCTGTTCCTGATGTTTGCTTTTCTTAAGGTATAAAAAGTTTAAAAGTATTTTTAGTATTTTAAAATAGGTGTGTAAATATTTTAACTATGACTTAGAAAAAGAGTTAATTATCAATTTTCTATCACATGCTTTAATTCCTGACCTCCAAGATAAAATTTAGAAAGAAATATTCTTACAGAATGATTTGAAAACTATGTAACACAATGGTTATGTACTATAAAGTCAGATATTTGCATTCAGATTCTATTATTTGGTAAATTTGGTAAATAATTCTATTTCACTGATAATCATCTTCATTATCTATAAAATGAGAATAATATTTCAAATTTACATACTTTTGTGAGAAATAAATGTTAACAATATTAAACTTTATATAGAGATACAACAAACTTTAATTAAAATACATTTTTTTAAATTTTAATCATTGTTCAAGTATAGTTTTCTGACTGTTACTCCCATCCCAGCCCACCCACCAAGCCCTCCTCACCTCCCTCCCATTTCCACCCTTCCAATTTGATCAATAAAGTTAATTCAAAATTGCTGAAGATTTTGTGAGAATTTTCCATACTGAAGAAAGAAGTGAAAGACAGACTTTTTAATACCACAGAGGAGGGTACAGATCTCTGTCTTTAGTGAAGACAAGAATTGGCAGCTTAGTCCAATTGCAGAGTGAATTGGAGTTTTAGGAAATCATTGTTCAGGAAATGGAATTATCAAATGCATCACAATTTTTTGCACTACTTATTTTTTCCTGTTCCAAATAGAAGTCTGTCATACACTGTGTAATATGCTCATGTCTTATAGACTTATTTCTCAACTCATTTTTGCAAATGCATCAATAATAAGATTTGTTAGTGTCTTTTTTGTCCCTACTGGCATATTATAAATGCTTACAGAATAAGTGCTTTAAGGAAATGTCCATCATGGGCCACATTATGCACAAATAAATATATTAGGCTACAAAATTCCCCAAGCTTTTTGAGTGGCAGCAACTTAGTTTTTTAAAACAACTTTAGTTCCATTCCTCTACATCGACTGGCAAAATAGAGTTAGCTGTCAGCGGAAAATTTTTAAAAAAACTCGTGTGGATGAGTGATGAGATGAATGATACATCTTGCAGGTGGGTGGTGATCAGGTTCTTTGTGTCGCGAAGGCAGACAACAAAAGTGATTGCGTTCTTCAGGAATATACAGATAGAACATTTTTGTTGCTTTTATTCTAATGATTAATTTATCAGCCAACTTGAAAAATACTGAGCATATTTTATTTATATACCAGAGATGAAAAACGGTCTTATAGAAATTGGCATGGTGCTGGGAATACATCACATTAAATATTATTCTGACCATACACCAGTATCTAGGTGGGAGGCGGAACCCAGCTTGGGCTATAATCATTACAGGATTTTACTCTAAATTATTTGTGTTAAATATATTTTTACTTTTATGAGATAAATCCCCAACTTTTAAATGTTACAGAAGTTTGCAACAATTATATAGAACATTGAAGAAAAGTTTTACTTTGTCATTTACTTGTTCACTCAACAAACATCTACCATGATTGGCTACGTACCATATTAGGCAATAGACATTACTACTGCTTATCCTAATGGTTTAAACATAAACATCACTTTCACAGAGAAGCCTCCATTGTCTCCTATACTTTATTTTTTTTAAGTTTTAAATTTTCCTCTTATTATTATTTTTTTACATTTCTTTTTTTAAAATTTTTTTATTGATTATGCTGTTACAGTATAATTGACCCTTTCATTCCCCTCCACTCTACCCCCCATCCCTACCATTACCCTCCTTTAGTTTATGACCATGTGTCTCAAGTCCTTTAGATTCTATATTTCCCATTGTCTCCTATACTTTAATTGTCTGCTACACTATATTCTCATGCATTCTTTAATATTCAATTGCATATATATTTTTGTTATTGCTCATAGAATGTCCATCTTTCCCAATTTTCTGTAGGCTTGCATATCAAAAGTTGTATCTGTTTTCTTAGTTATTTTAACTCAAGTATTCATAGCAAGAGCTCAATATTTTTCAGGCATTGAAAAGGCATACATGCAAATAAAAAAATTAACTTACGCTATTTTGTTAAAATATACAGAAGACACCCTGGGCATGCAAAACATGAGTGTCTGAGAATGTCAAAAATATAATACACAGGTGACTCTGAGATAAGATATGTTTGCTTCTGGGAAAAGAAGAATGGTGAGGCAGATGTAATGGGAGGTAAAAGAAAAAAGTCTGTAAGCACAGTATGGAAAACTACTCACCAAGTCCGAGAGTCAGGTACAGGGTGCTGGGAAATGATTCCAGATCAATGGTAGGAACTAGCTTTTGAAAGGCCCTCCCCATGAATTTTTAATGCGTATATTTTTCAATGTATTTCTCTTTATCTATAGATAGATTTTATATATATGAAGATATTGAGGAACTAAGTAGGAAAATGATAAGATTCAATTTTTGCGTGAGAAAAAACACTCTTAAGGTGAATTGTTAGATGAGTAGATACTTCTGGTCTCACATATCCAAACACTGTGTGCTCTATTAATGGTTTAGTCACTTACATATATCTGTTTACATGTATGTCCAGGAACCCACATTGAACATACATTTATAATGATGCTTAAGTTTGAAATGTGTCTTGTGGTTTTATTCTTTGCTTTTTTATATTTCATCTAGATTGTTTCGCTAATTCACCATTTTGAATTACTTTTCACATTTTACATCTTATAGGCCATAAAATATTTATGGTGTATAGTGTGATTCTATGTGTTAATCAAATTCATATCACCTGTCTGGAACCTCAACACTTTTATCATAACTGTGTTTGTGTGTTTTCCCCTCTCTCAGTGACGTACAAGGGAATGGGTATTTTTTTAATGAGCAACAAAATACATTAAAATGTTTAAGTGTACAAGTTTTTTAAACATTTAGATGCTGCTGTCGTAATATTTTTCCCCACAAACACTCTTCCCCTGTGGGGGCGACTTTCCTCAAAAGTCCCCCCATGTGCCATAGATGAGAGTAAATATGACTGAGACATGATGTGATTTGCTTAGGGAGGAAAAGTGGCCATTTTCCTAGAGGAAAAAGGCCAGCAGCAGCCAGTTTCTCTGAGGAGAAAAAGGCCTCGAGTCCCCTCCTCCAAGGCCTTTTATTGGGTTCTAATACACAGGAATACAGGGTGGCAAGGATCAAACAGTAGATAACATTTCAAAGAAATCCGAGGGCTTAGTATGAGTGAGTCTGTCAGGAACAGAGTTTTAGGGTTTCTTGCTCGAACCCTTATCATATGAATGAAAGCACTCTTAGCAGAGCAGGCTTCACAGGTTTATCAGGAAGCCTTTTTGATGCCAGATTTTCCCTAGGACAGGCTCTAGCAAGGCAAGGAGCTGCACCTCTCCCCAACAGGTATTCAGGCTTAAGGGGATTAGAGCCAGAAAGTGCTTCTCCCAGAGAACATGGGGACTCAGGCTATGTCAAAGCTGGGGGGGCGAGAGTCCATTGCTCTTTGTTTCAGCAACCCTAGTCCTACCGTGAAGGCCTCCCAAGTGATCAAGTGTGGCTTAGGTTGCCCCCCCCCAGCTGTGAGGGGTCTTACCTGTCATTGACTTCCAACCAAGCTTTGGGGGCAGGGAGAGGAAACTGAGGCAGCGTTTGCCACCAGAAACAAGCTTTATCTCCTGTGGCTCACATTCCAGAGCTCATCCCTCACCCTCAGCCACAGGGAGTCGAGATACAATTCCTAGAACCAGGCAGAGCAGTCTACAACATTCCCCCTAAAACATAATAAAATATAAGCAAAAACATTACACAGAAAAAATAAGAGTTCCATTCCTTACTATTTGTGATTGATGATAAGTTAAAATTATTCATACATTTTACTGATTGAACAGGAAGGTTGTGTGAAAGAGTCCTGGCAGCTAAGATTGAGAAAGGAACTAATTCACTAATTTAACATTTATTGAGTGTTTGATACACACAAGAAAAATAACAGTTTATCCCCTGAAGGAGCTTTCAGCCTAGTGAGAGACAAAGAGGAGGAACCTTTGCAATAAAGTGCAGAACTGTGAGCTTCACAGAAAGTTGCATCAGGGAGGTGGCATTAGAGCTATGTCATGAGCATCTTCAGGAGCTCATCAGGCCGAGCCTGAGAGAAAGCAACAGAGAACAGAATGTTTGACTGTATAGAGGAGGGGAAATGCATACTAGATTCAAAGAAGCATAATATGTGTGTGTGTTAGTTAAAAAGGGCAGGTTCAAGAAAGAAGTCCCAGGAAAGTCATAAGAGATGAGAATGGAAAGTTAATTGCGAGCCAGAGATGATTTAAAGCTACCAGAAACTTTCACATAAGGGAGTGCCTAACTTAGATTTGTCCTAGGAAGGATCATCTCACACTCATGTGGGGAGTGGGCTGGGTGTAAAGGCAATTAGTGACAGGACATGAATAGAAATGAAGTTAAGGTATTGGTAGGATTCATGAACAATATAAGAATCTGAAATTCATTTCTAAGATGACTTTGGTGAGTGGATAAGAGAATGTGGGGGGAAATGGAGCAAGAATAAGAATGACTTAGAGATGACTCAAGTAGTTGGATGGGAAGCAAGTGGGGCATAACGCAAGACCAGAGGACAGATATTTAAAATGAGGAAAGCTGATGTTGTGGAAGGCATAGGATAAGAAGGTCTTAGAAGTCACCTAGACCAAGAGACTTTTTGAAGTTTAGTAGTTATTGGTAACTTCAGTGGAAGTTCTGAGCCAGGGAAATAAACATAGACATTCAGGTTCATGTTCCACTTTGCAGCCAATAAATGAATGTGCAAAACAACATGTTAGTGAGTAGAAGGCATTGGAAAGCCTTTCAGACAGTGTTGTAGAAATAATGTTTGATTTTCTGTGACTGGCTTATTTTACTTAGTATAATGCTTTCAATTTTTTTTAATTTTTAAAAGATTTTATGTATTTTTCTCCAGAGGGGAGTGGGAGAAGAGAGGGAGAGAAATACCAA